CGTGATTGATAAAAAAAGAATCAAATGAGTGACTGAAAATGGTTACTAATGGTGAAAGTGAAACGGCTAGGGTTTGTTGATGGATGAGAGAACTGAATGATATAAAAAGTAGACAATTATTGTGGGCCGGGTTTCATTAAAAACTATGTATAAAGTGGGCTACTAAAAAATCAATTAAAATACATTAACTTCGGGTGGGTTTGGGTTTGGGTTTACTAATGGTGAAAGTGAAACGGCTAGGGTTTGTTGATGGATGAGAGAACTGAATGATATAAAAAGTAGACAATTATTGTGGGCCGGGTTTCATTAAAAACTATGTATAAAGTGGGCTACTAAAAAATCAATTAAAATACATTAACTTCGGATGGGTTTGGGTTTAGACGGTATGGGTTTGGGTTTAGACGGTCCAATTCTTATCATCCGAACCGATCCAAACAAATCCAAGTTAAATTGATTGGACAACCCGCATAACTCGTTGACCCGATTAAAACCTTGCTTTCATTTAAAACGGTTTTCAGGGTTTCAAGTCGGATGAGACCCGTTTGTCCATCCCTACCCACACCTATAGACTCGGCTTAATGGAACAAACAGTATTTAGATAAATAACTCATACTAACATATTAAATATCAATTTATTGAATAAGGTTAAGTTAACTTGAACCTTGAGAACAGAAGTCAAGAGAGTAAAAAATCCTAAAAAATTAAAATTAAAAAAAATAAAAACTTGAAATTTCTAAAAGCGACTGTATAATTTCTAAGATAAATTTTGTATATTTAACTTCTTAACTTATGATCCTTCCTTGTGAATAAGATAAAGTGGTTGCTCTTAAATGTGCAAAGGCCTTTAAGTATAAGATAAAGTGGTTGCTCTTAAATGTGCAAAGGCCTTTAAGTATATACTTAGAGCATCTCGAGTGCTGGTTTTTTTTATTTGATTCGTCAACATGACACTCATTTTTTCTACAAAATTGTAATTAAAGCTTTGCCAACATGGCGCAGCGTTACATGTTGAAGCAACAAATAATAACCTGAAGCAACGTATGGAAAACCCTAAAATACACTATAAAATTATTTTTTTTTTATTTTTTAATGAGAAATATATTATTTGTTAATTAAATTAATATTTAATATAAATAAAACGTTAATATGAGATAAAATTGTGGGATCCAATATCGGTTTTGTACATGAATATGATGAAATTTAAGTTTAATTAATTACGTGATGTTATTTATTTTTATTGTTTTTAATTATATGTCATGTATTTGAGATTAATTTTAATTATCATTTTAAATTATAAATTTAATTTGAATTTGAATTATTTTATATCAATTTTAATTTAAATAATTAAAATTATTATTTTAAATGATATAAAATTTAATATGAATAAAATATTAATATATAAAATAAAGTTGTGGGATCCAATATGAGTTTTTCAAAATTGCACCATTTGAGTGAAAACTAGTTGAATTGCTTCAAAACTGAGATGGCTTAATAGATTACTCAAAGAACCAAAAAATGAATTCACCGCTCTTATTTAAAAGACTTGAGTACAGGTAGATAGAACTTCATAAAGACACACACTTCATAGTCTTCACCTTGAATTTATCTATTTAATTGTTACTAGTTTTGTAGTGTCAATACGAGACACATTCACTTGATAATGAAAAAAAGGTAGAATCTGTCTTTTCAAAAACTAGAAATTTGTTTCACAGGAACATATCAAGTGAGCAAATTAAAAACAACACCTGCCAACAAAACTAACAATGACTTGAAATTTGAACTAAACACAGACAACTTCACTAAATTTCCAACCATAGATAAGCATGTTGGTGAGTTTGCAAAAATTACAGTACCATCGCTATTTTATTGAAGCTCCAAAGTGTAGGGTAGTGTAGTTTTTACGAAAATCGTAATGACATTATGGCTGATAGATATCACTAACATGATAATATGACCAAATATTGTCAAGATCAAGAGTAGATATGCTGCAAACGAATTCATTGTTCTGTTATATATAAGTGTAGCATACACAATTTCCCGATGTAGTTTTGTCAGAGTACACAGCATAGAAGGGATTATCTGTACAGTTAACTTAACTCTATACAAGTGACCTATACAAATCATAAAAACAAAACTGGGAGTGGAAAAAAAAGACATGAGAAAATTACCAGCAGAAACACTACAAATCAAACTTCAGGTACATGAGGCAATGTTGACACTGTCTTCTTCAGTCAGTAGTTTGGTACAATTAGGCTTCTTTGTTGACAAAAAATCGTGGATCGTAAAAAGCAGCGGTTTATTCAAGTTCCGTTACTTCATAGCACCACTATAGCCGTTATTTGACTACACTTTGCACTAAATAGCATAGTGATTTGTTTAAATCATGTTACCCTATGGCTCCATTATAGATATAAGATTTAGTTCCTCCAAAACAGAAGCCTTGTCTGAATATAGAAAGTGTTCATGAATTTCTATTCTACAAGAGGAATCCCTGAGCAAACTACTCTGTCAAACTGAAACTGTTTACGTAAACCTGCGATTGAATAACTACTTTCCCAATTCTAAAACCAGGAAAAACAGTTAAACCCACCTTTGCCCTTCCCTTATTTGGCCAGGTTAACCTCTTTGTAACATCATCCATATATACCATGGAGAATTCCGCACCGCTTTCCACTTGAAAGATCTCAACAGCAGGATCAAAGGCATGTGACAGCTTATGTAGTGTCCATATGGAACTAGCCATCCCAACAAATGCCTCGTAGAACATACTCAATGACCTCCACGAATTCAACACGGCTTCATTTTGATCCAAATCAACAAAAATCGACGACTCCATCGAAGGATGGATAAGCTTCTCGTACTTCATTTCACAAAACCTTGAAAACTCGCAACCCGGATGAATACCAAGCAACTCCATTGGATTGCTAGAAACATGCTCCAACAATTGCTTCAAACATCTATCTCTCCCTTTCAAATCCAAATCACAGAATTCTCCATTCGACATCGATTCTTCCTCTTCCTCTTTTCTCTCCGAACTCAATCCAAAACAAACCGAATCAAAACCTTGAAACATCCCTAAACAAACATAAGACAAAAGCGCATATTGATTATGCCCCTTTTTCGAATACACAACACCCGGATGAACTGCTTTCGCAGCTAAACCTAAATCCCACCCAGCTTTCCTCATCAAACCAATCAAAATCTTAGTAAACTTATGGGCCGCTCTAGAAGCATCATGCAACAACGAATCAAAAACCCTAACACTCAACAAAACATCACAACTAGGCTTCAAACTCAAACTCAATTTCAAACCACTATTAACGTTACTACTACAAAGCTTCTTAGATAAGCTCACATTACCCTTTTGAATCTCACTAAGCTTTCTCCTAAGCGAAAAAACCTCATCATGCTTCTGCTCAAGTTCCAACTGCAACCGATTCGAAACAGTACCAAGTGTTCTCAACTTACTCTGATTCTCTTCCACTTCAGCCTCCAACGAAGAACCAAACGGAAAATTGGTGTACAAATTAGGGTTACAGTAAAATTTCTTACATTCAGAGAGTCTCTGAAGATGAGAAACGAGTACTTTATCAGCGGTTTTCACATTCTCTTCAATAAAAGGAACATGCGCGCTTTGTAATTGAAAGTAAGAAGCTTCAAAAGCCGAAACCGCAGCGAAGATCGAAGAGATTAGATCGTGCGACGTCGTTTCATTTAACACTATTTGTATCGGTGCGTTCGAAGGTGACGGCGACGGTGTCAGTGGTGATGGCGATGGTGACGGCGACGGTGAAGGTGACTTCGGAGGAGAAGAAAGTGGATTTGGATCGGGTTTGATCACGACAACTTTTTGATCGGTGATGATTTCTTCGGCGGAGTCGAGGAGAGAGAAACCGTCGGAATCTTCGAGGTTTTCGTCGGCGAAGAATTCGAAGGTTTTGGTTTTGAAAGCTAAGGCGAATTTCTGAAACATTTCGGAGATTTGAGGTTGTTTGTTGTTATTGTTCTGGATGGTATTGTTGTATATCTCTGACATTTTTTAAGGTTGGGAGATTCCAAGGATGGATCTGGAAGCAAAAAATTAGAGAGAAAACGTGATTTGAAGTGAGATTCTTGTAATGTTCTTTGAATGTCTTTGAAGAAAGACCATGTGGGGTTTGGTAAGAAAATGTTTTTTTTTTTTTTTTTTTTTTTTTTTTTGCTTTTTGGGATGTGGGTTAGTTTCATCCCTAGACCTAAGTTGTGAAAGGTGACTGTTCTTGTTAACGGTAAAATTAAAGAAAATGACGGCGTGGCGTTTATGGTGATTCATTTTTTCTTGACCGTTAAGGTTTTCTTTTATAAAATTTTGTTTGGAAAGGAGGACTTAACAATAAATTTCAATTTAAAATTATTAATCATTCAACTAATGTTTAAATAAATTAAGTAGTATTTTTTATCTATAATTTAACTAAATTTAAATAAACTAATAAATTAAAAATCAATGACATTAGGTATTTGTTTAATTCTGTGATTAAAAAAAATTGATTTTGAATTAATTATTTATGTAAAATTTATTATAATTTAAAGGATAATGCTAATTTATTTATGTAAAATTTTAATTTTTTATTTATGTTTTCAAAACAAACATTTCATAAATGTATTTCTTAACTTGTGTCTAGAGGCACAAGTTAGTATTACCTTAATTTAAAAAAAATAAGTTGAAAATTTCAATGTAAGAATCAAATTTAAAGTCATAACTCATAAATTACAAATTATAACTTCAAGTAGAATCAATTCTAAAAGCAGAATCAATTTTATATTAGAAGAACCAAATACCTCAAAATCACTTCACTTTCAGAATTGTTTTTGTCTCTCTCAAAAGTCAAATCAAACATACACTAATAGCATGTTTGGATTGGTTTTTGGAAGATCCAAAATTAGGGGTGTGCAAAAAACCCGATTATTATTAACCAAATTTGTATCCAAATTATTCCACTTTAAAAATCCAAATGATAAAATATAAATCTGGTTATTCATTTTGTTATCCAAATATAAACCGGTTTCCCTAATAATAATAATAATGTGGTTTAGTTATTGGGTATCAAAATTTCATTATTTGTTAAATTGATATGTTTTTGTCTCTTTTCATTTTTATTATATACAAGTTATAAACCAATTTTATATTTTGAACTATTTTAAAGTTAATTTTTTTGAATTTCATAAAAAATATTATTTTACAAAAAATTTAGAATTTTGTATTTCAAAATAAAAAAAAAATTTGTTTACGAATTCTCGAACTACTTAAAATGATGTACTAATACTTCACAAATTATATGGACTTTTAGCAGTTAATTATATGAACTTTCAGTAATTAATTATATAGATCTTAGTGCATCAAGTTTGATTTGACATGTGCAAGAAAATATATCAAAACTTAATTTGTTGGATTTGACTCTAATTTTCATTTATAAATCTCCATGATCAATAAAACTTTATGGAAAAATGATCCTAAATATTTTAGATTTCTGCACTAATAGATAGAGGTTTTAAAATATACAAATATATGTATTATAACAAATTAGTCATCATTTTAAGTCCATATAATTTGCTGAAATTTTTTTTTTAATTTAAAAAAAAATTTCAAAGAAAAAATATATTAAAACCTAAATATTTAAATTTCAAAAATTGATATAATTTAAAGAAATTTAAATTTAACTAAATAATTTGGATTAAAATCAAAATTCATTTAGAACCCGTTTTAAACCGATTCGAAACAAATGGTTTGGTTTATAAACCATAACCATAAAAATGGATTGGTTCATATTAAATGGTTATCCATGCACACCCCTACCCAGAATCAATTATAGAGGTGTAAAATTGATTCTGGGTGATTTTGAGGTGTTTGTTTTATCAAAAATAGAATTGATTCTAGTTGAAGTTAGAATTTGTAGCTTCTACATCTAGAATTAGTTCCGGGTGATTTTTACACTGAAATGTATTGTTTAACTCACTTTTACATAAATATATTCAAACATAACTCAATTGTATTAAACTCAATTCTGTTAAAATCAATTATACTAAACTCAATTATGCTAAAATCAATTCAATTTGCCGTCAATTCAAACACACTTTAAGTGTGTGTTTGGATTGGTAGTTGACAGAATTGAGTTTGGTAAAATTGGTTTTAACATAATTAAGTTTAGCATAATTGAGTTGAACAACATATTTCAGTATAAAATCTAATTTAAAATCAGAAGTTACAAATTCTAGTTTCAAGTAGAATCAATTCTACTTTAGAAGAAACAAACACCTCAAAATCACTCTAGAATCAATTCTACCCTCTAGAATTATTTTTGCCACATCCAAAAGGTAAACCAAACAAACACGCTATAAATGTTTGTTTGCATGACTTATTAAAGTTTACCCAGCAATATAACTTTTGTGATATTATTTGTTTGTATTTGAGTAACATAGAATGAACATATAGTGATAACAAGTAGAGATGTATAAGTTAGTTATAAAAGGTTTAGAAAGTTAGTAAGGAGATCTAACTAACTTTCACGTCATGTAACTAACTAGAATAGTTTGAACTAACTATAAATTGCAAGATTGGTGATCAGTCAACATTTGTGTTCGTTTTATCGTCATTTGAATGTCAAAAGCATGTAATTGTTGTAAGTTTGGGTAGTACTTTAGGCCTATTTTAGTATATTTCTATCATGTCTTAATCTACTGAGATTGTTTCTGAGTTATTTTACACGCTTGAGGTAGTGTTTCATGTGTTTATAGGTCTGAGGAATCAATAGTAATTTGATCAAAGAAGGATCCAGACAAAAGTACACGAGTAGGAGAAAAAAGTGAAACTTGAGCTTCTCCTGCCCATAACTATATGAGGGGTCTCATACGTGTATGACCACCCAACACCACCAGGCATCATATTTGTAACACTAGGGAGAGTGAAAAAAGCATGCTTTTGCCTATACGCGTATGAGAAGGGTCATACACGTATAAAGCTAACCATCCTAAGTTCCCATAGGCAGGTCAGACCCTTACCCGTATGGCTCTAGCGAGGTCATACGCCTTACCCTGGATCATACGCGTATGAGGTAGTGAAAAATTGTGTCATACGCATATTGGTGAAGGCTATATGCGTATGACATGACCCAGATCTAAAAAGCCCAAATTTCACCTATTTAGTCGAAAAACACGAATTTCAAAGGGTTGGACAATGTTTTAGTGCAAAAATACGTTTTAACGACTGGAGAACTCAGTTTTTCATGGTGGATCAAGGCTGCATGAACCCTAAGTGATTGAAGACCTCTTTTCTTCCATTAATTTGTAATGTCCACGTCTTTTATTTTGTTTTTGTTTACTAATATGAGTAGCTAAACCCCCTAATGCTATAGGGTGTCCTTGATTCAGATTTACAAGATAATTTTGATTTGAACTTTGTAATGAATGAAATTTGATGATATTTTATTTACTTGCAATTTATTTTTAATGCTTTCTCTCTCAGACAAATTGAGTTTGATTTACGGTTAATATTTAGGTCGAAGCGCAATTGTTAATGCTAGTTGTGACTATTTCATAGTAGATATTACCTAGGACTAGGGGTACCCTGTGAAACCCGGAATATTATTGATTAAAATAATGCTTAATTTCATTTATAATTCACTATGTACATAGGAGTTAAGTTGAATGATTAAATATTTTCTCACTAAGGACTTTGGAGTAAACACCCTTAAGGACCGGTAATCAATATTGTTAAATTGAGTTGTTACAAGGTCAGATTACTTTTGTTGAAGAATCCAATCATACACATTCCATAGCATCATAATCTCTTTTAAACCATTCAACTGCTTTATTTACTTTCAGTTGCAATTTATTTTCTATTTTCAAAATAACAATCCAAAAGCCCCAAGTCTTTTGTTTAACTAATTTAGAACCCAAACTATGTATCGTCGAGCATTCGTTGAGATTGATATTTGGGGAATTTCCCTTATTACTACATTGGAAGATTAATACACTTGCTAATTTATCGATCAAGTTTTTTACACTTTTGCTGTGAATTGCCAAAGATTATAGAGTTCATAGTTTTATTTTAGTTAAAACTTTGTTGATTTGCAACTAAAATTTTATTTCAATTTCTATTTTATTATTTATTATTATTATTATCCTGTTACTTGCAATATTTGTCTGATATTTGTATGCGAGGAAAAGCCTCGACTGATTTTCCTTATAGACGCATAACCAAAAAGAACATTACATGCTCTGCTTAGATAAGCTCGGCAAGCAAGACTGGCAGATCAAGAGGTAGTCATCTCTGACCACTCAGATACAGAATTAGACAAAGAAGTAGAAGAACCTGTTATAGCTGAAAATTATGAAGAAAAACTTCTTGGGGACTATGGTAGAGCAAACCTTAGGCGGTCGCTTGATTGTAGTTAATCAACCGATGAATGTTGCAAATTTTCAATTGCACCCAACAACTATCTGTCAGCTTGAAAAGAGACCTTTCACAAGAAAGATTAATGAATATGCAAATAAATGTATGCAAATGTTTCTTATTATGAGTACTAATTTGAAGATATATGGGCCCACTAAAGAGGAAAAAAAGTTGAGAATGTTTTCGTTCACTCTAGCTGAAGATATTGAAGAATGGTTTTATTCATTACCTGCCGGAAGTATCACCACGTGGAAACAAATGGAAACAACTTTTCTTAATAAGTATTTTTCTGCTTCTGTTTTTCTTAGGAAAATATATGACATCTTGAACTTTAAGCAGAATAATGGTAAATCACTGGGTGATTCATACAAGAGATTCAAGAGGTTACTGGTTGCTTGTCCTACTCACAACTTAGATCAGACTAAACAGATGTAAATGTTTATTAATAGCCTTAGGTTGAAGACTAAACAATTGATTGATACAGCTACTGGTGGCTCATCCAACTTTATGATAGCCATTGGTATCAAAAGATAATAGATGCCATTGCTACTAATAAACATTTAGAGTTGTATGACAGCTGTGTAAGCAAGCCTGAAGAAGTGACAGAT